CCCCGGTAACCCGTTAGGCCTTCCGCGGCTCCGTTCCTACTGTTCACTAATACTTGGATTAAATTATTTGTTTAAATTCAAATGAATTCTTGACCTAACTAAATAGAACCGATACAAAATAAATTAAGCATATTTTAGTACATTTTAAATAGAGTAAATGTTAAATAAACAGCTGTTTCGACATTTATAAATCTTAAAGTACATGCAAAGGTATCTCAACATAATTATCGTACACCGCTACTGTACAATATTAGCAATTTAATCTAATTATGCTAAAACTAGAATGTAATCTCATGAAATAACAATCAGGTTTACTTCTGTCTCTCTCACTCTAACTGTGTTTGTATAAGTGGGAAGGAGAAGGAGTGAGCTGTGCTTGCGCAGAAAATTGTGCAGCTTACATAAAATGTTGAAGGCGTTAATCAGAGCTCCTGTGGTGCGCGCGTAATATGGTTTGTCCTTATGTTTACAGATTTTGATGTTTTTTTCTTTTAATTACGTAATTTTTGTACGATATTAACTGCCAGAGTTAAATGTGTAACCGCTTTTTTATCTTTGAGAATGTAATTGTCTTTTGTGATGTGTTGTGGAAAGAAACAGATGAGGCGTTCAAATACAAAAACTAGACTTATATTCCTCTCCATAGTAAGTTTAAAACACCTTTAGAGTCATTAATACGTAGGTATATTTAATGTTGTACTATGTCACACATACCTAAATATGAAATACCTGCGCAGAGGACGGACATCGAATACAACTTTCAACAGCGATGGTCCACACTTTCATAAGTAATCGCTACAAGATTACCGTCGTGTCGCGCGTATATCGCGGCCCGCGACAACCGGTAGCCGTGAACAGCGCCTACGCCGCGCGCCGCACCGCGTGCGCCCGCGCCGCGCTCGCGTCCATCGCCGATTCTAATCAATATGCTAAGTGCCGATACGAGATCGCGTGCGACCGCGAAATACTCGCTCTTTGTTTAATTAACTACTCGATTAATGTTACATTACTCGAATATCTCACTGCTACACATATAAACTAGTCCCTTTTTCTACAACGATATCGTAAAAATGTTGATCCAGATTATTTATAAGATTAGTTCCAACCTTGTTTGTTACTACATCAAATTGATTTACTCGATTGCGTATCGATCGTTGTGATGAGTTAAGATAGAGTCCATACGTGACTCCACATGCAAATTGAAATAAATAAATACGTATAACACCCTCGTATGTTGTTACAGCATTTATACCAACTCTCCCAAACAGTAATTTCGAACCAATTTAGTAGCGAGATAAATAAGTTTGATCCCAGAAATTACAGAATCTGTGTGTATAATTACACTCGTATAAATTCAAACAATCACACCAGAAGACTCGAAGCCCATTCTTAAGCAAGAACAACAAATATAAATCACAATTAAAAGTAAAAACAGATGAATATTTTACTTCATTAGCCACTTAAGATTAATGTTTAAAGAAAATAAAATGGTGCTCCAATCAAGGATCCAAAATTTCAGTTTATTCTTTTTGACTGCGCCATATCAGAGGAGAACACTTATGGATGCAATTTTATTAATTAATTTCGAGATGCATTTATCTTCCTCGCATGATGCAAGCGTTTAATAAGGCCGAGGCACCATTATGGGGATTGCGTTTGAGGGAAGTCGGGGTGATTCGGACAACGGGCTGAGTGGGCGATAATTCATCGCGCGGGAAATTAGACTCGCTCGGTTTTTTGCGACACCTTTTCGTTGGCATCGCTGTCTGGCCACGTAAACTTTTAACTTTATGCGTATTAGATGACGTGTGTGTTTGTTTTATGGTATTTGTGTGCGCTTCTGACTGATTTCAGTTTTAAATACACGCACAATTAAGTTGAATGTAATCAAAAACATGATAAGTAAAGGATTTATTAAAGACATCACGATGAAACTAATAAAACGCCGATGGCAGTGTCTTTAAAATAACTAATTTACACAAACAGATTGAGTTCTAAACATGATATTGCCATAACAATAAACAGGCTCATCGATTTACACAATATTAGTATTTTAAAGCCGGTCCACGCGGCCCGAGCCTCCCCTAATTTGAATAATAATCTCGCCATCAATCTGTTTGGTTTGCCTTGCTCCTTGATTATTAAAACAAGACCTCATTTAGATTATACGTTCAACATTAAGTTAATTTGGAATCTCGTTTATTTCTGCTACTGACTCCTTATGTAACTGAAATTCTATTGCAATTATGTATTGCCAGTAATAATGGCTAATTGCAAAACGGTACGTAATTATGATATAATGTGAGATTGGTTCGATCTATGTATATTGATATTAATCAGAAATAGTTCGGTTATATTACTAATTTTCTTACCTAGTTTATGTATTTTTTTGCAAATTACCATATGTATGTATTTAACTAAAAATCGCGGGTTACCTACTCACGTGAATATTACTGAGAAAAGCTCTACTAGTTTCAAGAAGAGGTTCTACAAGGTTAGAGGAAGAACCCCTCTGTGGTTCGAAACTAGTAGAGTTTTTCTCAATATATTCACGTGATTAACCCGCGATTTTTAGTTAATTTAGTATGTCTCACGATAGTTATTATAAAAATATGTATGTATTTATCAAATTTTTAAACTCTTAGTTACTAAATTAATAACTCGTTAAATATTATATAAAAATGTATCTAAGTATTATAAAGAAAGCTGAAAGGGTTGGCCAGTAAAGTCTACAATTTGAACAATAGAAGCAATCACAAAAAGTTATAAAATAATTTCTTCAGTGGAACTCAGAAAAACTTCTTAATTTTGTATCGCAGATTAGAATTTTTGAACACTGTGCAATTATTATAATAGTTACATTCTTTATTCTTAATTACTAACTACCCTTTACATCGAAACTTCTGGAATTTTATTCTGATTTTGAAGTAATACGGGTTATACTAGAGATTATATTTTATTCGAAAGTCCAACTTTTTTGAAGCACTCGTATGTACATTTGTTTTGTGATTAAAAGTCGTCTTATTCTTGTGAATTGAGTCGATTGTGATCGATGAAATGTTAAAGAATTTGTTGTCAATGCTATGTTACGTTTCTTCTATTTAGACGTTATGCATAATCAGAAATCGGTTTAAACTGTCAAACACCGAGCGGTCACTGGTGACCGCAACCTATTGTTCTTTAATTGTGTCTATAATGACGGTACTCAACGAATTAAAACCTCATTCTCCGTTTAAATGAACTATTTGAACTTTTTATTTCATTTCATTTTCTTATAAAATTGATACAGTAAGCAATATGTTGTAAATATATCAAGTAAACGATGAGTAATATATTTAAACTGCAGGGAAAAGGCTCTTAAGTCGAAATGAATACAATATTTTTAATGTATGAACGCATAATTTTGTTATTAATTCCACGTAATAGGGGGCGAGTCCACAACTAATCTTGATTCATTTATATTTCAAAGTCAAATACGCAATAATGCTTTTCCTAACTTATCAAAATAATAATGGAAAGATCCTATTAATGACGTTGTGTCATTTTTTTCAAAACCTTTGGAGATTTAGTCAAATGATTCCACTTTATAAATAAACTATTTCGCAATAAAATAACAGAGTATTTTGTGTTAAATATTATATTTTGTCACACAAATACTTTTAATTAAAACCCCTTTTGGGGTGTGTTGTGTTCCATAGAATTGTCGGACTTGATATTCTACATCAGTTTCAGGCCTTTGTAAATTTAATTTTTATTTGTTAATACACAGTATCTTTCTAGTCGTGTTGAATACATATCTCAACACCATTCTACCTACGTGTGTCAGAAGAGCATGCTAACAGACTGCATATTTGATGGAGTTGGAAGCAGTGCTCTCTGATAAACCTGAACCTTTCATATTGTCGACTCTAATTCGTTTGGTTCTCTCTCTAATGTAGATGGACGAAGCCTGTAGTCCAGCAGACTGTCATGAGCTACTGATCTTTAAGGATGCAACCAAAGAACTACTTTATTGCGTACCAAATGCAATGGTTTTGTTTTGAGGGCCTCTTCTTTGCAGTTGGACAGTGGAGGCTAGCAAAGAAATACTCTATGTACAAATGATATATAATCATTAATCACTCTTTAAATATATTTGTAATGCCGTAAAAATAAGCTACAAACACCTTTCTGGCTTCGTTTCTAACGATACAAAAACGACAAATAGTTTTGTGTTGTGCACAGACGTTAAATGTCATCATCAAATAGACCACCTGCATATACAATAAATAAAATTATCACATATTTCTTTCACTATGACAGATTTTTACATAAAATAAAACAGAAACATATTGTTAGTTCAGTCATAAATATTCTTATACCAAACATAAAACTAATATCAATCTGCATCGATGTCGATAATGATAAAAAATAATGCCATTTTATCTACAATTAATCCGCGTTCACACTTGCGGACTGTACTTCGTCTGGCTATAATATCGAGTATATAAATACTGCTTTCTTCATTCCCGACGGTATTAACATACTTATTAATTGCTGCCTCCGGGGTACACTGGTAGCTTTATAATATTTCTCCAATGGTTTACGAGTCCACGGCTCCGCCCCATGCGTTGGAGTTGCAGACATTAATGCGTTGCCATCGTCGTCAGAGAAATGAGTATGCTGATTAAACTTGTGTGCACTATTCTTTATTTCTTTTTTTGCTTTTGTACCAGCTACTTATTTAGGTTTCAAGATGGTTGGTGTAATGTTTATGGGCTTCGCTGATATATTTTACTTTGTCGTTGTTTTGTCCGTCATATTTTGTACTATCGGTGACTAGTTTTTAATTTTGAATTGTACTTTAGTTTTATGGAATGATAGGGAGGTTTTAATGTGTGCTGTTATTTGTTAGGGCGTTTTATTATAATCAATAGTTTTTGTATTTGTTTTGCAACCTATCTGTTATTTGAAGTGTTTTTAAACGAAAAATCGTAATGTATTCCTTCTTTTGTTTTCAGGTAAAGTCACATTCAACATCGCCAGTAAGTTAAACAAAACATTTCGTACACATTACTCTAACACAAACAAAGTTAACTAAAATAAACTATTTACTGAACGTTACCATCACGCACACAGGCGCGTCTCCAATCAAGGCAAGTCGCATTTCGAAAGCAAATTATCAACCTAGAAAGGGGGGAGGGGGAGGTATAATTAAAATCCGTTGATTAATATGTAAATGTAATAAGATTACCCTCCCCTGAATAATTTAAATGGAAGCTCGGGAGATGAGTTATATACGTCGGACGCTCATTATGCTATAGTTGTATCGGCCACTATAATGTATGTTGTGTCCCGTTTGATAAATGCTGTCTGAAGGTGCGAGTCCCATGTACTGGGTTCCGCTCGTGTGTGCCTTGCGTTGCATTGTCCACTGCCATTCCGATTGCAAATGAAGAAATGTAAATGGATGGTATAATGAAATGGAGGGTAAAGACTATTGTACACATGTGCCAAAATGCGTGACGATTGATAGATATATTGTTTTTACTGTAATTTAAAGAGAATCAGATGGTATTTAAATAATGACGATTGTAGTTTTTTCATCTTTGTAGCCAGATCTTTATCGTTAGTTTTCTTAACTGTTTCTATAGTAAGAACTATTACCAAATACCGAAGTCAAAAATAATTTCGACCAATACAATTTCGAATAGGAATAATCTAATAGAAACTGCATGTAACATACATAATCAGTTTACCACAGCAGTACCACCAAAACGGCCATGTTTCCGCCATCTTTATTAAGAACGCATGGCCACCCGCCTCCTGGCGTTGGTCAACAGCCAGCAAGGCGTTAAAGGCATCAGCTACACCACCCACCAGTAATGATAGACCTCCCCACCCCCGATGAAAGTACACTGTTTCAAATCCGAACAGGGAGGTGAGACGGCGTAGACCGTTCAGCTTACACTGGTCCTTGGTGCTTGGCTCACTTGTCTAATGGCTTTGATTAAACTGCCAGTTTATTTGACGGTACGATGCGTGCGTGCGACCACGTATGAATTTATGTTTAGACGACGGCCGAATATGAAATTATGATCGAAGATATACGAACGTTAAGAGGCACTGGCGTATTCTATGAAGATCACTGCGACTGGCTCTTAGACTACAACCAGCGACAATAATAGTTCTGCTTGTTGAAGCTATCCCCAAACTGAAAACTCCCCTTCAATTAACAAATATCGAAGACCGTCATACGAGTAGATAATAATTCTTATTAATTTTTCAATATTGCTTTTTTATTCCGATTTCCGTATCAAACATAAATGAAAATGGATTTCGGAAACAATCAAGGAAAAACAAAACTTACGAGCCAATAAGTCCAGAATAAAAAAACTTTATTCAAATTACGAAAATTCATAACTGCAGTAAAATATCCTTTCAGTGACTGAATAAATAGAGACCAGCATACGCCATTCCTGTAATAGTGAACATTCAGGAGCTTTTGCGAAAAAATCTTAAATTAATAACATTGATAATCGCATCACAATAACCTTTCTATTCACTAATCTCTTATTTTAACATATTTTAAGTTTAAGAGAAGTGTCTAAGAACATTCAAAAGTATAATAGGTAAGCAACTCCTTTTCCAGAATAACTCAAAATTCACCAATATCAAGTAGGTACACTATCAAATTAATAAGATAAATAATTGTGGCCAATGCAGTTTAGAGCTACCACCTCGCAGAGCAACGGGAGCGCTACTAATTATAAATCCAGGCTATAGGCTCCGTAAATAATTTAGATAGATGAGCTTTATGGCAAAGATGTAGAAAACTAAATGACACAGTTAAAAGACCTTGTTCTTCTTCCTGTCCTTACTCCAACTACAGGTTACTTCAGGTCAATGCAGTTTTATACGTTTCGCGCACAATCTATCCATATTTTTTTTAAAAACGTTGATCATTCAACGGCTACAAAATATTTATAAAGTTTTATTAAGACCTCGAAATACAAAACTCTTTTTATTAAAGCTCGATAAAAAGAAGAATAAGTTGATTTAAAATTCGAACATTCACTGTCTTCGTTATTCAAAAATCCACAGTCATCGAAGAAACATCACCGAAGTAAAATACAAAGCAATTATTATTGGTAGCGGACGTACGTCAACAATAGTGTTCAGGCGAGCCTTGCCTGGCCTCTCAATAATTAGGATAGTGCATCTCCGTTTACCGAATGAGAATAAAGCCTACCCTTTGTGCTTGTGTGAGAGAAGACCCCCTGTATGTATGTGTGTGTGCATGCATCTTGATTCTCCGTATTTATGTGTGCTGTTGTGGGGGCACGTCGTCCTCCGCATGCCACTCTGCGATAGTAATGTCGTATATTTCGGTCGTGCGTACACTACCCTGTCTTATTATGTTTTAGCTCGCCGGACTGACGGCTAAACAGACATTACCATGCGATTTACTACCTTAATAACATACATTTAAATTTTAATTCTAGTTCGACACAAAACTTTGGAAAAAACTTCGAGTTTCTCATTCTCCACAATCAGAAAAGTATAGTCAGAATAAATGCCAATAATATTAAAAGCCGAATTCTAAATTCGTTTTAATTTTTGCCGGTCGAACATTTTGTAATCAGAAATCCTTTAGAGACTTCAATTTTTTATTGAAATTGGCGTCTCGTTAATTAAAACCAAATCGAATTAATTACAGAGCGAAAATTATTCCACCCTTTCGGTCGACTTTAAAATCGTAAGACATGGAACGGGGTGAATGTACACAGAATCGGTACATACATATTGTTGGAAACACTGCATGCCATAAACTAATATTCGCTCGGACACTACTTGGAGTTATTGGACAATGTAAATGAACGCTATCTCCTATAATGCCTGCCTTATTTCCCCCTCAGCCAGGCCAGTGCCCGGAGCGACCCCTCCCGGGGGTGGCCCCCACCCCGACCGATGTCTCATCAGTAAGGATTGAACCCTTTAATGTATTCACCGTAACTTCGGGATGAGTCTTGTATTAGTGTTATAATGAGACGTGGCCCTAAGGAATTATGGCTATACTTGTGGATCTCAGGGGTCGGGATTAACCCCAACCTAGTTTCAATTTCTATATATGAGAGGTTTCGGAGGATGGGGTCGATAATATCATATCTCCAATGTTTTAAATCTGATAGCCGCTATTGTTTTGATTTTACGCTCCGTCTTGTGTGGTACATCTTATAAACTTACAATATGTACGGGAGCGTTCTTGTAGAAACAAATAAATGCCATGAAGTATACTGTTTCGTTGCCATGGCTACTAAGATTACTTCTGAAACAGATCAAATTATACTAAGAAACAAATCTTGAAGCACTTTAAAGAGTGCTCTCTATTAAAAACTTCTTTGATTAGAGTCCATTAAAGGAGTTAGAGTTGAAAATTGTGCTTTAATCATTCGCCAATAACCGAAACGTTTTCGTTAAAAATGTTATTTACCGAAGCTCCTTGAGTCGCCAACAGATCGATAATGCTGCCAATTAGCCGGTACCAATTTTCCAATAAAACTTCAAACTGTTTTCCATTCCATTATCTCTCACCACCCTTTATTGCTGGCGAAGTTAAGCTACGACTCCTCTTTCCACTCCGCGCCGAAATTATTACAATAATAATATTATTATATTAATAATTGTATTGATAAGGAGACTCTCGTAATAAGGGTAAACCGTCCCCTTTCTGCCAGCCATCCTCAATAGGAGAATTTATGTAACTAATGAAATAAGCGAAGTGGCGCACCCCGCGCCCCGCGACCCGCCCCAACCCGCTCCCATCCACCCTTCATTATCGGAAAGTTTGAAATATAATTTGAAATTATGCTCAATGTTATATTGAAGATAAGAGAAACACAAATTCCTTTAATTGGACTTGTTAAAGTGAGTCAAATTAAGTTAACACCGAGTTGATGGTATTACTTTTGAAGTTGGAAATTATGACGGACTGTCCGTAGGTTTCTGCGGAATTCATGGGGTGATTAGCGGTTGAAAGAACAGTTATCGGTTCCTCGACCCGCGTATTTTATTTAACGGCCCGACGTTTATGGGAACTTATTGCATTGTATTATTAACTTCTAACTACGTTAAGTAGAGCGGAGAAATACCGAGTCGTGTGTACTCAGTCAATACAATAGATTTCGGTGCAATCAATTATAATTAATGAGTTGCAATTATCATTGAATTATTCAGTGCTTGTATTGAGAGTTTCGATGAATAATTGATTAGAATTTTAAAATGTAAAACTTGGAAACTAATCGAAAGGGTTCTTAGATTTAATTAATCGTGGTAACAAAATTAAATATTAATCATATTTGTGTAGTGAAATAGTTGAGGGTCGTACGTTAGGTCAACTATTGATTTTGGCGTGCGCCCCGCACAGGCTCACAACTTGAGACCATCACAATTAGTCGCCGGTCTCAATCTAATTATATTTCTGATTGGGATGGTGGCGAGGCATTGCTTCATGTTGTGATTTACACCGTGTACCTCGCTTACTGACGTGTGCCAGGGAAGTAACACGGCACCGTCGCCTTGAAGATACTTCTTATAATTATCATTTTGATTTAGTACAGTCACCCAATTATTTGTAATCATTACATTTGTCATGACGTTTATTGCATGGTTTAGATGTGACATAAATATTACTATTGAATTACAAGATTTATGTTTTAATTTCTGTAAAATTTTTCTTATCTAACAGTTATATTACAAAGTAAAAAAACGTAGATTACCATCGCTCAAAGATAATCAATTAATCTGCGATGTAGAGACTTACAGTCCTAGCAATTAGATGCAGATCGGGATCTAATTATTCGGTTTCGGCTCGAGCTAGCACAGCACTATTCTGATTGTCGACAAGCGATTTCGGAAATTACTAAGGCGTCGACGTAGCCCGCTCATTCCGCCCTGTTCCTTGCGCATCGGTTAGACGGTCACTCAGTACCGTCACCCTATAAATTTTAATGGAGATTGCAATAATGTTTTACGGTTATGTATC